CCAGAGTTCCTCTTGTCCAACTCCATGACTTTCCTTGAGCAGACTCGAGACGGCCAAACAGGCAGCAAAGCCCATTATTTCTACCCCATCACTTCTTCATCCATGCCATTTTCTCTACTCAGACTCATTGCCATCATCCTAGCTCATCATATGTACAGCCACTTTTCATCCAGACTATTGTCATAGCCTACTAACTGGTCTCACAGACTCTTGGGTCTCCAGTCTCTAATCCACATTTCAGACAGCTGCTGAAACAACAAACACCTTTCCAAGCTATTGATCTGCCCATATCTTTATCCCACTCTAAAACAACGAATGGCTCCCTATTGTCTCCAGAATAAAATATACCTGGCATTTAAGGCCAGCCACAAAAGACTGGCTTCCTGCCCAGCCATGTACCAAAAATGACTCCCCTTCATATATTTTACATTACAGCCAAAGTGGGCTACTAGATCTTCCCTGATCCTGCCCTGGGCAGGGCATGGATCATAATCCTTATTTTATAGTCTGTTGTCAGGGATTCAATGTTGTTTCCTCCATTTATTGACAAGTTTCATCACCGGAAAGTGATAACATTTTTTTTGGGTCAGAACAATTCATGAAGTGTGAAGGCATGGCCATCAGCATTGATGGAAGGAGCTATATTGGGAGGTAGTGAGTTCCCCATCACCAGAGGTCTTCAGGTCACAGCTCCATGACTGCTTGCCATGGCTATTATAAAAGGGACTGTAGTCCATGTAAAAATTAGACTAGATGACCTCTGAGGTCCCATCCAAAGGCTCAGTTTCCTCTTTTGTAAAATAGGGAAAAAACAGACTAACTACCCCCCCCATGCTATCATAGGGAAAGCACTCACTGCGTGCTCTAACATTTTCCTTAGCAGACCCCAACCCCCTCTGTTGTCCGGCCATACTGGCCTTCATGCTGACCTCCACACATGATCCCCCATCCCCAGCCTCTATACTTTTGTACTGGCTATCCCCCAGGCCCAGAATGCTCTTTCTCCTCACCTCTCCATCTCTCATAATTCCTGGTTTCCTTCAAGACAGTTTAAGCATCACCTTCAGGAGAAGGTCTTTCCTGGGTCTCCTCAGCGGCTAGTGCTTTCTCTACGCTCAGGTTACTTTATATACATTCTCTCTCTCTCTCTCTCTCTTCTCTCTCTCTCTCTCTCTCTCTCTCTCTCTCTTCTCTCTCTCTCTCTCCTGAAGACTCCCTTGTTAGAATGTGAGCTCCTGAGGACACAGTTGAGAGTTACACCTTGAAGTTATTATAAATTTAAAAGGAAAAGTAAGCTGTACATAACAAGAGATTCCCAGTTTCATACATGTCCTCTTTCTCTGTTCTACTTTATATATGGAAATGCTCACTTTATTTGGGTGTTTATTAAGTTCAGAATTTAAAAAAATTAGTGACAATAAAATGCAAGCTCCCTGATGTCAAGGACTGGTTCTCTTTTTTCATTATATCCCCAGCACTTAGCTCAGTGGCTGGCACCTAGTAAGCATTTGACAAGTGTTTGTATATTGAATATATAAATCTGAATTAGTAGTAGTAATAATAATAATAAATAAGACTACATAACACTGACCATGTGCCATGTACTGTGCTAAGTGTTTTTAACCATTATCTCATTTGGACCTCACAACCTGCAAGGTATCCCCATATTACAGATGGGGAAACTGAGGCAAACCAAGGCTAAGAGACTCACCCTGGGTGACACAGCTAGTACAGAACTCAGGCCTCTCCAGCCCCCATCCACTATTATCACTCCCTGGCCAGTCTGTCTGTCTTCTTCATTACCTATCCTGTTGTTTACAGGATCACAGAGTTGGAGCTGGAAGGGACTTCAGAGACCACCTAATACACCCCCCTCCTTTTAAGATAATAATAATTATAGTCATAGCAGCTAATATTTCCATAGAACTTACTGTGTGCCGGGCACTGTGCTAAGTGCTTTACAATTAGTATCTCCTTTGATCCTCACAACAACCCTGGGAGGGAGTTGCTGTTATTATCCCCATGACGATACTGAAGCAGACAGAGGGTAAGTGACTTGCCCAGGGTCACACAGGGTCAGTATCTGAGGCTGGATTTAAACTCAGGTCCCAGGCTCTGTCCAGCAGCATCACCTAGCTGACAGGAGGGATCACAGAATCACAGCCCTAGAGCCGATAGGGACCTCAGACATCATTCAGTACAACCCCTTCATGTCACATTCCACTTTTCCCATTCCAGCTTATTAAAGAATCTCATAAAACATGGAATCCCCTAGAAGAGGCAGCATGGTGGGCTGAAAGAACCCAGGTCTGGGACTCAGAGGACCCGAGATAGAAACTTGGCTCTTCTACTTACTGCCTGTGTGACCTTGGACAAGTCTCTTCCTCTCCTGGGCCTCAGTTTACTCAACTGTAAAATGAGGGTGTTGGACTAAATGATCCCCAAGACTCATTTCCTGGCTATATCTTCAGTGCGTAGGCCCTCCATATCTCTATCTATGAGGAAGCAATGCGGCACAGGGGGCTGGACTGTTGGACCTGGAGTCAGGGAGGCCTGGGTTCAAATCCTGACTCTGTCACTTACTATCTGTTTGGCCCTGGGCCTCAGCCTCCTTACATGCGAAATGATCCTACAGCTTGTCTAAGTCTTGGGTGCTTTATCTGTAAAATGAAGATAATGATAACTGTGATATCACCCTTCACAAGACCATGAGGTTTGAATGAAATAATCTACAGAAAACACTTTGGCAAATGTTAAAGTATTCTGGAAATGTCGCTTGGGGCCATAGCTCAGGGTTAGAAGGACCTCAGAGGCCGCCTAATTAGTCTAAGAGATGTGGGAACTGAGATGGAAAAAGAGTAAGCATTTGCCCAAGGTAACAGAGACGTTAATGAGCAGAGACAAGATGAGAATTCAGATCCTGCGACCCCAAGTTTACTGCAGCTGCATCCAGCTGCCTCTCTTCTACAGGGAATCCACCTTAAGAACCAAGGGGAAAGGGAAAATTCAAGGGGCCTCATCAGGCTGCTATTGTCCTGCATCTCTGTCTTTGAGTCAAGGCAACAAGCATTGTTGTTAAATGCCTGCTGCGTAGCATTACAACCATCTTTTGCTTTTGTTTTTTTGTTTTTTGCTAGGCAATGGGGTTAAGTAACTTGCCCAGGGTCACACAGCTAGTAAATGTCTAGTGTCTGAGGCCAGATTTGAACTCAGGTCCTCCTGACTCCAGGGCCAGTGCTCTATTCACTTCACCACCTAGCTGTCCCATAACCACCTTTTGTAATTTGCTCTGTGTATTTCCTTTCCCTGGGGATACAGACTAAAAGATTTCTCCACCACTTTAAAAAAAATAATAATAAAAGTACCCATTGGAATGCATCTGTTGCCAGTTTTGTAATCAGCCATCATCAGACATACCAGAGAGGTGAAGTAGCCCACCCGCATGATGTCATTGGCTCCCAGGAATTCAGTTACCATCTCGGTGCTGATGATTCTCAGAGCTACTTAACCAGCCCACGTTCTCTGCTGATTTCCAGGCTTCCATCTCCAACGGTCTACTGGACATCTCAAACTAGACATCCCGGAGACATCTTAAACGCATCGTCTCTGAAATTGAGCTCGTTATCTTTCCCCCAAAACTCTCCCCTCTTCCCAATTTCCCTATTTCCATCACGAGGGCTGCCATCTTCCCCAGGCCTCAAGCTCATTCCCAACCTCTCAATTTGTCTCCCCTCCCAAATCCAGTTGGTTGCTAGGTCCAGAGGGTTCTATGCTCCCAACATCTCCCACATCTCTCTCATATGCCTCCTTCTCTCCTCCTGATATGACCACCACCCTGGCATAACCTCACCCCTGGACTACTGCAGTAGCCTGCTGGTTGGTCCCTCTACCTCAAGCCTCTCCCTGCTCCATCTCATCCTCCACTCAGCTATCAAAATAATCTTCCTAAAATGCAGGTCTGACCATGTCACTTCTCCTTCAATCAACACCAGTGGCTCCTTATCACTTCCAGGACCAAATATAAAACTCTCTGTTTGGCTTTTAAAGCCCTTCCCAAGCTGGCCCCCTCCTAGTTTTCTTTCTTTCTGACACCTAGTTTTTTTAGTTTTCTTACACCTTACTTTCTAGTTTTCTTACACCTTACACACTCCTACCCTACTCTTCCATGCAATGACCCGGGCCTCCTGGCTATTCTTCAAATAATGCACTTGATCTCCCACCTCTGAGCATTTTTCCTGGCTCTGCCCCATGCCCAGAATGCCCTCCCCCTCATCTCTGCCTCCTGGCTTTCCTGGATTCTTTCAAGTCCTAGGTAAAATCCCAACAACAGGAAGCCTTTCCCAATCCCCTAGACTAATGCATGATGGACGTCTAGTGACTTCCTTCTACTGATTATTTCTGCTTTATCTTGTCTACAGCTCTGAAATGTTGTCCTTGTAAATCATGACATTGGGACCACCCTGGAAGTGAGACCATCCTTTGGCTAAGACCTTTAAGTACTCAAACACTAAGTCCCCTTAGGTCCAAAGCAACCAAACCTTAATATGGCATTTCATTCTATGGTGAAAGTGTGATGCCAGGGTTCCAGTTGAGCTAATAAGACAGCAGGGGTTCTAATCACCTCTTTGAATATCTTCTTTTGCCAGGGGAGGTGTCCCTTCTATATTACTTCAACGATTTGTGGTTTTGTCCATGGGATCACAGCCTCTCTGTGATTTAGTAAAGTGTCTTCATGGGTTACTGTGAATGAAAAATGCAATCTCCCTTTGGTCAACCTAGGCTGGTCCTCGGGAAACATCTACAGTTATCACTGGACCTTTCCTTAAAGGTTTTCTAACTTGCCCATAAGACAACATGACATCAAAGGAGGGCTCAGATGAAGTTTCCCCTGGGTTCTGAAGCCCATCCCAGAAATATCTGGAAGAAATGCTGCTCTTCAATTGGGCTGTTGGGCTCTGCCATGTGAAACCAAATTGGGCCCAGGAATTCTGGGTACTTACTTTCATCATTAGAAACATTCCCCAAAGACGTGTGGCTGGAATAGCGCTTGTTTTCACTTTCACTGAGACATCTTTCAATCCAGCTCTCTGAAAAATTTTAAAAAAATGCTTTGTTAGCATTTGTGGGGAAATAGGAACCTTGTAAATTCAATTAATTATTTCATTATGTTAAAAAAAAACCCCACGAACTTCACCATTGTCTTCTCTTGAAACTTAACCAAGATGAAATTATGTTGCTCTCATTATAGATTCAGAGGGGGAAGGGGCCCCAGAGGCCACCCGGCCCAACCCCCTCAGTTTTAAAGCAGCTGAATAAGACCCAGAGAGGTCAGTGACTAGACCACGGTCACAAAAGTGGCCAAAGGCAGAATCAGGTTTTGACCTCCAGAGCTTTTGACTGTAAACCCAATAAGACAACCCATTTATTCCAAATTTAATATGCATTTGGGGAAATTTTTGTTTTTCTGTTGTTATTGTTGTTTTTGGAGAGGTCCTCAGACCTTAATAATAATAATAATAATAATAATAATAATAATAATAATAATAGGTAACATGCATACAGCACTTACTATGTGCCAGGCACCTTTACAATTATTATTTCATTTGGCCCTCCCAATAACCCTGTGAGGTAGGTGCTATTATTATCCCAATTTTACAGGTGAGGAAACCGAGGCTAAGTGACTCATCCAGGGTCACACAGCTAGTCAGTGTCAGAGGCAGAATTTGAACTCAGGTCTTCCTGACTCTAAGTCCAGCTGTCTATCCACTGCTCCACTTAGCTACCATTAAGAAAGAAGTATGGTATTGTGGATACAGCATTGCCTTGGAGCCAGAGAGTCCTGGGTTCAAATCTCATGTCAGCCATTTACCAACTACATTAGCCTGGGCAACTCACTTGGCCTTTCTGTGCCTCAATTTCCTCAGCTGTAAAATATGGGGATTGAATTCTAACGTCCCTTCCTGCTCCAGGGTTATGTTCCTACATACCTGTGAAAACCATCTTTCTAATACTCCATGTATTTCAGCTCCATAAGAAACACTTCACAGTTATAGACAGATTTACTGTTAGTTATCAGTTCATTTTATCCCCCAAAGACTGTAAACTCCTTGAAATTAGGGATCATTTCATTCTTCATATTTGTATCCCCAACACAACACATCATAGGTGATTATGGTTGTTCAGCCATATCTGACTCTCCATGACCCCATTTGAGGTTTTCTTGGCAAAGATACTGTAGTAGTTTGCCATTTCCTTCTCTAGCTCATTTGACAGATGAGGAAACTGAGGCAAACAAGGTTAAGTGACTTGCCCAGGGTCATACAGCTAGTGAGTACCTCAGGCTGGATTTGAACTCAGGTCTTCCTGCCTCCTGGCTCAGTACTGTATCCACTGTACCACTTAGATGCCCAAGCAGGTACTCAGTAGATACTTGTTAATTGACTGGTTAACATAACAGACCTTGTAGGGTAAGAGTAATCAATTCAAGAATTATTATCCCTAATTTACAGGGGAGGAAACTGAGATTGGGGAAGTGATAGGATTTTCTCAAGGTCAAACATAGTAAGGCATACAGAATTGTATATGCTAGAAGTGCCACTGGAAATGAAAAATAATGTGGCTAACCTGTTTCATAGGCTCAGATTTTTTATATAGAGAACATTCTTAGAGTAACTTACACTTGTAACCCCAAGCCAATTGAGTCCACTGATCAGCAAGTATTTATTAAGTGCCTACTGTGTGCTGGGCACTAGGCAATTACAAACTGGTCCAAAATAGCGCACTGGGACAGGTATCACATGCCCTCTTTGCTAAACAATTTTAATTAAACTTATCCCTCACCCAATAACTGTTCATCTCCTGTTAACTAATGGTCTGATATTTGGAGATAAGTCTAGTCTGTAAATGTCCAACCTAATAGACGCATACACACACAAAGAGAAGATAAAAGAAGATAATCATTTGTGGACATTAATCAGACCCAAGCCAAATATATGCATTACCAAATGAAAGGACCATAGGAAAGACAGAAATCCACAAGCATTTTTGAAGGTTTTAGTAAATGGTTTTAATAGATGAAGATGAAAGGGAAGAGAATGTTGATTACAGAATTATCAACACAGATCATCTCTTAAGTAATCCTTCATCTAACTCGAGAAGTTGGCCCAAGCATCTCAGGTTAAACAACCTCAGGCCACCATCTTAGTTTACATTTGGGCCTAGCCCTTCCTTGTGGTCAACTACCATTTTGCATTGGGAAAAGAACTTGTGTGTTCTCTCTCCAGTGCTAATGCCAGTGGCTCCCAACATGTGGGTCCTAAGTGTCTGATGTCTTTAAATTTGCATGGGCACCATGCTTTGTTATTTTAATTGAATCCTTAAAAGCCAAAATGAAATTCCAGTCACTAGTTTGTTAAACAATTTGGTATAAACAAATAAGCAAACATACTATCTGCAGTGTTTCATACACAAAGTAACATTTTCAAATGTGTGTGGAGGATTTAATGATCAACAAAATACAAATTTACTTTATACCAAAAAAAAAAAATTAGTGGAGTTGGATATAATTCATAGACTCACAGAATCAGAGTTGAAAAGGAACTCAAAGTTCATCTGGTCCAACCTAGACCAAACCAAGAGTCTCCTCTGCAACCTCTCCCAACAAGTGTTCACCCAGCCTTTGTTAGTGAACCTTGGAGTATGGGTGGGGGAAGAAAGGCAGGAAAATGATATTATTATTATTATTATTATTATTATTATTATTATTATTATTTTGTACTATAAAATGCAAGGGGATTATGATAATTGATTCATGGATTTAGAACTGGAAGGGACCTGACAAGTGATCTTGTCTAACTCCCCTCATCTTACAGATGAGAATGCTGAGTCAGGTAAAAAAGCATTCATTAAGCACTTACTATTTTGCTAAATACAATTTAGGGGATACAAAGAGAGGCCAAAAACAAAAACAAAAACAAAAAACCACCACACCAAAAACCCAATCCCTACTCTCCAGGAGCTCATAGCCCCATGGTTCAGAGGTTCAGAGAAATTAGGAGAATTGTTGATGGTCTTATAAGCATGAACTCAGTTCTTACATTAATTCTAAAATGGTCAATTAAACTAGACAGGCAATAGGTACAGGGAACTCTACTAAGTGTTAGTAGATGTTTGAAGATGGTGTATAGTTAGTGAGGCAAGTAGAGCGTGCATTATAGAGACTCAGTTTAATGTACAAATCTTTTCCTGCTCTATAATGTATATGGAAATGTTATTTGGCATTTGTTTAAAAAATTGTTTTAAAAAAATTTTAAAACACAGGATCACAGTTTCAGAGCTAGAAGAGGCCTTAGAGTCTAACCTGCTGATTCTACAGATAAGGAAACAGAGGCACAGAGAGGTTAAGTGATTTGCCCTGGGTTATGCAGCTGGTAAGTGACTAAAGGGAGATTTGAACACTGATCTTCCTGATTCCAAGTACCGTACATAATGCTGCCTACACGGACAATAAACCCACTGTCTAAGCAAGCTCACACCCAAGAAATCATGGATGCATTGACTTGTCAAAGAAAATCATGCCACATGAGCAGATGCAGCCAATATGGAACATTGCTGTCAGATTCAGGTGATGTGTTGGTCATTTTCACCAAACTGCTTTTTTTCTGCTCTCTTTTTTGTTTATTCTATGTTACAAGAGAAAGTTCTCTAGGCAGAAGAAGGGGAAAGGATATATTGGAAAATGAAGGTTATATAAAACAAAAGATACCAATAATTATTTTTAATATGAAAAGGGAAAATTGAGGGTAATTTAGAAATATTCTACAAAATTGAATATTATATAAAAGATACTTTCTCAAAGGTATCTGCTTACAAAATTTTATGCATATTAATGTATGGATATACACACATATATGTAGATAGATATACCGATAGATTGATTGATCAATAGGACAGGTGGTTGGTGCAGTGGATAGAGTACCTGGTCTGGAGTCAGGAAGTCTCATTTTTGTGAGTTCAAATCTGGCCTTGGATACTTACTAGCTGTGTGACCCTGGATAAGTCACTTAACCCTGTTTGTTTCAGTTTCCTCATCTGTAAAATGAGCTGGAGAAGGAAATGGCAAACCTCTCCAGCACCTTTTCCAAGAAAACACTCAATGAGGTCATGAAGAGTTGGACATGACTAAAACAAGTGAACAACAAAATAAACAGAAACACACCTACATAAGGTGGTGTTTACCTCTTTTATGAGGCCACATGAGGGAATGTCATCTGGCCAAGAATGCTGGCATTTATTTCTGCCTATTAGAGACTTTTTCCCAGTCTGCCCTCTACTGATAAAGGGGAAAAAATGGGGATAGGAATCCTTGCAAAACATTTTACCTTAAATAAAGTGAAGGGAAAATAATGATGACATTATTCTATAGACATGGGAAGACGAGCAAACACCATGGTGAGATGCCAAGGGTATATTTCTGCCTGGTTTTGGTCCATTGAGCAGCTCATTTTTAGCTCCTTCCTATTCACTTAGTGGAAGGTCAGATGATGCCAAGGAGGAGAGTTGAGAGAGATCTGTTACTTTTAAAGTAGGTGTTCTTAATCTGGGGTACATGAACTTACTTTTTAAAAAATATAATCTTAACTGTACTCTCATATAATTAGTTTCCTTTGTAATCCTATGCATTTTATTTTATGCATTTAGAGGCATGATTCTGAGAAGTCCAGGGGATTCACTAGATGGCCAAAACACACTCAAATGGTTAAGAACTCCTGCTTTAAAGGGAAAAGGCTGTAAAGAGACATTGCACAGCTAGCTCGTGTCTGCCTGGGTTACAGTATTATACTTGGAATCAGGGAGATCTGAGTATGAATCCTGTCTCAGACATCAGTTGTGGAAGCCTAGCAAACCACTTAGCCTTTCTGCGCCTCAGTCTACTCAACAAAAAAATAGGAAGAAAAATAGCATCTGCCTCCCAGAGTTGGAGTGCTTGAAAACCATATTATTGGTCTCCTAAACGTCACATTTAGAAAATGGAAAATAGTCGGTCACTCTATCTACCAACATGCCCAATGATCTCAGAACAAAGGAT